CCGTTTTTTTAGCTTATTATTTCGATACCTTCAAAACCGCACGAATTTTTTTGGTTGCCTGATAGCATAACACTTGTCCTTGATAAGGTCGTGTCGTAATGTTCTTAACTCATGGATGCATTGTGGACGCTTCCATGGAGAACATTTTTGGCTCTTGACGTTGTCACACGAGCTGAAGACTTCCAGCTGGCAAAACCACCATTTTGGGATAAAAAACCTCTCAACACTATGCGAGTGATGAATGTTTTGCTCATCATTGATCTCCGGCGAATTGCCGCCAAGCCCTGTCATGGGAAAGCCTTTCTTAAGTATACCCATTTTCCTCGTGTGGTTCTGGGTCCTTATGTTGCCTGGAGAATGAAGTCATTTTCAGGGCAAATTCATTTGTTGGAACACATTTTTATTATTGGAAATAAGCTCCGAAGCACTAAAAGAAATGGGTCAAAATTTTTTCCATGAGATCTTCCGCAATGGATCCATTGGTCAGTAACATTAGGTCACTTACTAATCAAGCACAAGTGTTATGCAAAAATGCTTACGAGTGCCACCGTCAGAATAATGCAAAAAAGCACACGAATCAAGAATTCAAGAGCTCGACCAGGCATTCGTGACCCTTACGACGTGTCCACTCGGCCCTGCAGCTACGGGCGCGACAGCCTCACGCCGCCATTCGTATTGACTGCTCATATGCTCCCCTAAAAAGCTCCGTAATTTTTTTTTCTGGAAGGTCCGCAACAGATAAGGAAGAAGGTATCGTAATCCTCATCCAAAGATCATATAGTCGGGGGGCAATACAAAAAGGGCACTCTGGCTGAGTCCCATATTAGTAAAGTTTACCCAGCCCAGATGGAAGACGTTGATACGAATCCAGGGCGGAAGATACTCAGGATGTTCCTCGATAAGCAGAAGCAGGCTCTCGTCCATCACCTTCATGTACACTGGAGTATGAAGTCATCCCCAATCGCAGCCGAACTAAAAAAGGCCTGCGGAATTTACGTCACCTCTAAACAGCTGCGAAACTCCTTGGAGTGGAGTCGCCTATGAACAGCAACCTGGAGACCAGCACTCTTGATCTGGCGGACCTCCAACATCGAGCAGCTTCGACGACGTCGCTACGGTCTAGGATATCATCTCACCGCAGGCGCCAAGGCGCGATTTGATTCGGAAGTTCCTGGAATGGGGCGACCGATATTTTCTTCGTGGTGAGCCCCGGACTGAAACTGAGAGCTGACGGTTACATCGAGCAACTCGAGGAGAATATCTTGCCTCTATGCCATTGCCTGTACCATCAAAAACTTCGTACTGCTGCAGGATTGCGTGACAGCACATGGAGTCGAAGGGCGCCGAATAAACTGTCACCTATTGGAATCGAAGGGCATTGAGACCTGAAGAAGACGGAATATCCAAGTGTGTCACCTGACCTAAGCCCATCGATTACCGGGCTTGAGCGGAGCTCAACAGGGTGGTCTATAGTGGCGGAGAAATCAGCCACCTCGCTGAACTGAGGCAGCGAATCACGGTCGCGTGGCAGGGTGGCGTTCGTCTAGAGGGCTGTGGCGGAATATCCTGATAGTGGACAACGTGCTGTTGGATTTGATTGTGGAAACGTACAAGCATGATCTAATGAAGAGTAACTTATAGCGCCTTAGAAGTCGAGGAAGAAAAGTGTTTTTTTTAATGCCCCCCCCCTGTATATTTTATTTCAAATGGCCACTTGAACCTACCATTCTTCCCTTGTGATTATAGAGGCGTCAAGGAAGGAAAGAGTTGAGGGGGGGGGAGATGGGGCAGATGTGGAGGGAATTAGGGGTTGAGTCGGGGGCATATGACCAGTTGACCTACTGGGTTGATAGGTATCGTGATGGGTCGAAGTGGAGGCGTTAGGGGGCGGCGACTTATCTGGATGATGTGTCGGAATGTAGAAGGGAATGTTGGACATCGCATTTGACGACGGAAGGTGGTATGTCGATGGTGATAGTTGAGGATGTTGTGCTGCGGTGGCTTCTGTAGTTTGCTGAGAGTCAGTGGGATTCTTTGCATGGTTCGAACTCTGGACGTTTTACGATTCCTTTTCGATAAGCGGCCTTTCCTTGTCAGTCTTTGCAGAGTGGCGACGAAAGCGTTGATAATTTACTCAAAACTGCCATATTTTTTTTGGCGTATTCGCGGAGTATTTCATCTTTTTCTCCTGAATTAGCGGCTACACGTAGTAGCCATTGTTTCCACCAGCTCGGGGCGAGAGTAGACGCGATAGAGTGAGTTATGAAGCTGAAAAATGGTGTTCATATTCGACTAGATGATCGTCGTTGGAGCTCCCTAGGCTTCCTGGACCTTGGGAAGGCATGCCACGGCCTGTGCTCTGGGGAGCGCTTGGAGAGCGTAAAGTTTTGGAGCACCTCATCTCTATAGTGAGGAACATGTGCGATGGAGCTAAAGCAGCTGTACGCACCCCGCACGGCTTGACAAAAGAGGTAAACATTACGGTTGGGGTGCACCAAAGATCAGTCGTCAACCCGTTCCTCTTCCTTCTAACTCTGGATGTCATGGTGGATGTCATGGCAAAAGAACTCATAGAGGAGCCACTGAGAACCATCCTCCACGCTGACGATATCGCCCTGGTAGCAGACAGCAGGGAAGAACTTCAGGACAAGGTGCAGCGGTGGAGGATGTGTCCACTGAAAATGGACTGCGGCTGAATGTAAAGAAGACCAAGTTACTGAGCTCGGAAGATGTACCGAAGCTATCATAGACCGCCATGGCGAGAGCATCGAAAGGGTCGAGGGCTTCCAGTACCTGGGAGGCGACCTAGCGGCTGATGGCAGCGTGGACCACGCGGTGAAGGCCCGAATCAACGCAGCTTGGATGAAATGGAGGGAGTCCATTGGCATCCTGTGTGACCGGCGGTGCTCGAGAACGTTCAAGGGCAAGGTGTACCGGACGGTGGTAAGGCCTACAATGCTCTACGGCAGTGAATGCGCCCACCTGCAAGAACCATGAAAGGCAGCTCCAGTCAGCTAAAGTGAGGGTGCTGAGATGGGCCTGCGGCTGGGCACGACTCGACAGAGTCAGAAATGAAGACGTCAGGCGCTGACACAGACGGCTCCGATCCAGCTGGAGGTGCAAGAGCAGCGACTGCGATGGTATGAGCACGTACTGAGGAGGCCTGAAGACCACCCAATAAGGAAGGCATTGGAATTCGAAGTAGAGGGCAAGCGACCATGAGGAGCCCCAAAGGAAAGATGGAAGGACAAAAGATGGAAGGACATCATCAAGAAGGACCTCACTGAAGTGAAAGGCACGGCAGAAGATGCAGTGGATCGGAACAAGTGGCGACGTCTAACAAGAACAGCGGATCCGGCGACAGTGCAGGACTAACGCTAGGGAGTAAAAGAAGAAGAAGAAGACAAGCGAGCAAGACAAGAGAAGAAGCAAGACGACAACAACAGAACCAAACAAACAACACAACAGCAACAACAACAACACAACAATCACAAACACAACAACAACAACACAAAATAAATACCAACAACACAACAACAACAACAACAACAACATAATAATATATAACTAACATAACAATAACATAACAACAACAAACAACGCAGCGCAGCAACAACAAAACAAGAGCACAACAACAACAACAACAACAGCAACAACACACAAACAGCAACAACATCAAGCAACAACAGGAGAAGGAAGGAGGAGAAGAAGAAGAAGAAGAAGAAGAAGAGAAGAAGAGAACTCGTCCTCCTGGAGTGATTTGGAATCCGAGGAATGGTCGAGATGTCATATTCTGCCTCCTTAGTGTACTGCGCAGCTGTCGCTCGGCGGACACTGAGATTTGTTGCGGAATAATGCCGGACCTTTCGGTTTTTATTACCGAATTTGGCGATGCTTCGCTTTCTTCTCGAGCGTTTCTTTGAATTGGCAGCGACCTGTTAGTCTCGGGTGATGTACAGGGGGGGAGGGGCTAAAAAAAAAAAGTCACTTTTTCCTCCTGACTTTCAAGGCGCCTAAGTTACACTTTATTTAAATTTTTTATCGGGAATTTTTACCACCATATTAAGAGGCACATTAAATACTATAATGTACTCCGCCACAGCCTTCTGGAGGAGCGGCCATCGAGAGATTCTGGCCGCGCGAAAGTTGAGTGGGTACGGAGTTTGAGCGGAGATCGTTGATTTCTCCGCCCCGTAAGACCACCCTATTGAACTCCCCAGACCGGGGTAAATTGAGGGGATTCATATTCAGTACCTTACTTTTCGGATATTCCACCTTCTTTGGGCTATCAGCCCACTTCCCTTACCAAGTAGGCGCGTTTCTTCAAGTCCTTCGATTCCCTGTCGGTCGTGCACCAATCCTGTAGCAGTACAAACGTTTCCTAAGAACTGTCACGGGCCGACGAGATGTGGTAGAAAGGATATTCTCCATTAGTTGGTCGCAGTGTAACGCCAGAACGCTCAGCTTCAGCCGGCGTCCAGAAGAAATTAGTATGTTCATCCATTCAGGTCCGCGCCGGTCCACACCCATCAACCGCCTCTTAGTTGAATAGGTGAAGATGATTATCCGGACCCGTAGCGACGTTGCGGAAGCTATGCTCGATGTTTGAGGTCTTGCAGTAAGAGTACTGGTCTGCCAGGTTAGCTAATCAATGGCGTGATTCATTCAAGAGTTCCGCAGCTGTTGGGGCCACCGCTGAATGCAAAGGTGTTCTCCAGTGAGGCGGCGCTGGAGATGACTTCATGATTTGGCGTACATGAAGGCGATTGGCTGGCAGCCTGTCCTTGCTTATTAAGACGTAAGATCTTTTGTATCTTCCACTATGGTACTATACTCCACTTCCCACCTTCTGGACTGCGAAAACTTCGGTTGATATGTGGCTCGGCGCGAAATGACTTTTTTTTGCCCCCCCCCTGTAGATCGATGACGTTCGGTAGCCGTCGTCGCTGCTCCGTGGCGCATTTGAGGTGTGGGTGTGGAGTGGCTGGGCAGAAGCTGAAATGAGAGACGATGGTGTCGATTGGTTGGACAGAAGCTGGAGTGAGAGCCGATTTGGCGGAACAGTTGTTTCGATTCACATCGCCGAGCGGTTGACGTCGTCTCTTCGCTGTAGTCGCCATGTTCTGGACCACGTCCTGAGGCTCCGAACTCTGTACTCTGTTCAAGCTGCGACATGTATAAATAAAAATGGAAGAAATGCTGTAAAATGCTCCTGAGGGAAAGATTCGTCATGCAGTAAACCGTGTAATTGGCTTATTTTTCCATATTAAGAAGTGGCCCAGGAAAAAACTACTCCATATTTCGTGCAAATGTTATGTGGTAACAGATATTTTGCGGAACCTTGTGAGGATTTACGTAATATTGAGCAGGCAGTAAATTCCTTCTAACGTTACAGTTTTTTCTTCTTTATTTTTACTTCAGCTTGCAGTGCACAGTGATCAGCCATATAATCACCAGTGTTAGGCACTACAATGCCTTCCCAGCAGGTGGGTCAGCGATCCCTTTTTCCAAAACTGCGGAGGTGGGGAGTCAAGGAAGCAGGCACAAGAATTTGACTCAGTACATTACGTATCACAATTATAGGGACACTCTAATTTTTTCGCTAGTCCAGGCTTGCTCTGTCTTGAAAAAATACTGTGAGTACTATCGGTCTTCTCACGCCGAAAACCTTGCCCTATTACTATTTATTTTTTTCTGCAATAACTTCGTTCATAGCTAACCCTCATTTTTTGGGAACCTTTTTCGTTATTTTGCAAGTACAGGCCGACTCACAAAAATTTGCTGTTTTCCAGCAATGATAAGGAGCAGTCCTGATACGGGGATATGCATAAGATCACCCAAAATGGTGGCTATCATATTTCGTGCTGCTTAACAAGCTTTGCAAAATTCAGTACGGTTCAGATGTCGACCGTGCATTGTGTGATCTCTTCTGGTTCCTATAGTACGTGCCAACATCGTGGATTCTCCTCACAGCGAGAGTGCGAGTTCCTCTATCTAGTTAACAACCGAATACTCGAGGTCACTCAAGAACTGTATTATTGCTGACAGTCCAACTTGTTATTGATTGACATGCAGCGGAAGCCGCGTTATCGTGCATAAAAATCTGGGAGCAGTGGCAACGGCGACGAAGGAGTAGCTCAGTTAGAGTTTGGCTCTCAACAATTATCCGGTGTTCTTCATAAATTATATGGTAAGGAAGGAGTACGAGCTCAAGCTATCCAGTCGCGCGAGGTGCACTTCAAGCTGCGGTACAGGGGGGGGGGCAAAAAAAAGTCACTTTTCTTCACTGACTTTCGAGGCGTCATAAGTTACACTTTATTAAATTCTCATCGGCTATTTTTACCACCACAAAGAGCATATCAAATGCTATCATAACACTCCGCTACAGCCTTCTGGACGGGCGCCATCGAGAGATTCTGGCACGCGACTCGCGATGTGGTGCCTGAGATCAGCGAGATAGTCGATTTCTCCGCCACCGCAGACCACCCTGCTGAACTCCGCCCGAACCGGGTAATTGAATAGATTCAGGTCAGGTGACCTACTTGGATATTCCATCTTGTTTAGGTACTCAGCCCCCTTCCATTCCAAGTAAGCGAGTGTTTCTCCAACGCCCTTCGATTTCATGTGGTGGCACTCAATGCTGTTGCAGTACAAAGTTTCCAAGAAGGTACGGGCGACCACATGTGAGGACGATATTCTTCACGAGTTGCCCAATGTATCCGCCAGGCTCACCTTCAGTCCGGGTCCACGAAGAAAATATTGGTCTTTCCATTCCAGGTACGTCCGGTCCATACCACCAACCCGCGCCTTGGCGACTGCGATGAAGAGGATGTCCTAGACCGTGACGACGTTGTCGGAGGTGCTCGATGTTGGAGGTCATCCAGATCGAGAGTACTGGTCTCCAGGTAGCTATCCATAAGTGACTCCATACTAGAAGTTTCGCATCTGTTTGGAGGTACATGCATTCCAAAGGTCTTCTCCAGTCGGGCTGCGACTGGAGATGACTTCATATTTTGGTGTACATGAAGGTGGTGGGCGAGAGCCAGTTCCTGCTCATAGAGGGACATCTGGGGTATCTTCCGCCCTGGTACTCGTATCCATGCTCTGTGCTCTGTCTGGGCAGCGAAAACTTTGCTGATATGTTACTCGGTCGAAGTGACTTTTTGCCCCCCCCCTGTATGTCCTAGACCAAAATAAGGGTTGAAATCTAGCGGCCTGGGTAGATCTCTACGATTTTCAATTCTACATGTCGGAGAATTGCAATTCCTAGTGCTCTTCAGACTTCACAGAAAGCTTTGCCAGCTCCCTTGTAATATTTTTTCTGAAGATCACTCCTCATCCCGTCGCTTGCTCACAGAAGGTATCATTACAGCCCGGACCATGCGCAGAGTCATTTGCCTTGGGTACAGATGCCCAAATCGTCTCCCTTCTTGAGTATGGGAAACAGTTATGAACTATCAGGTGATCTCCTTTCCGAATCTTCGGATTGCGCACGCAGTTGACAACGTAACCAATGGACGGAGTAAGCGGTGATCCTTTTTATCGACCACCCGGTTTCAAGAAGTACTCTGACCCGGGCTTGTTGTTCTTCAGAGGGATGCGCAGCTCGATGTTGGTCGCGACTTCAGGGAAACATGCATATCCCATGTCTTTCTTTATCTTTTTTGGTTAGGATACTTACTGTATCAGCTTTCACCCAGCTTCCAACTCTTTCTTCTATTGTTTTTCTTTACAGAATGGCTAATGAATCTGTGTCCACTTTACAACTTCCCTTATGATTCTGCATCCATTCTATATCATTAATTCGTCAATTCGTTCGAGGTCATGGACGAAACGAACCGTCTGTTTCTATAGCGACCATTTTTTCGACTGATGCCTTTTTATTGTATTTGATCAGACGCTCGTAAATCGTAAGCCTGGTAGATGTATGTAAGCACTGAGGCGCCAGTACTATTACTATACTTTCATGAAAAGGCTGCTCATATTTCGTTAGTCAAAGTTGGGTGAGGCCATTTGCACGGCTTGCTAGTTTTTCCTTAAACGTTAGTATACACCATTCTAGTGTCTCAGCATACAGAGCAGGAGCGTCATTGTTAAAGGAAATATTAGTATCACTCTGCGGAAGTCACTAGGATGGTCGCTCGATCGGTGTGGCCATTTGTAATGAGATGAGACATGCTCTTTGTGATTCGCTGATCTCAAATCTACCCTCAAAATTAGCGGAACGATCCTCTGAATGGAGTTGGGAAGGTTTGTTCGAATGAAGGGACAGAGAGTCAAGCACGGTTACCAGTCAGTTTGCATGAATAACCGCGACGCGCATCCGACACCAGCGGCAGCATGTTATAGTGGCAAGGGTCTTGCTTCACAGGCGTGAGATAAAGCTTTGGATTTTGAGGGAGACTGCTTTTTGCATTCTGTGGGGAATGTCCCTCCTTAGTCTAGGAAGCACTTTCACATAGATATGATCGCAGTTCACGAATCTAGCCAGTGATCCTACAGGATTTTGCGCCTGCGTCATACAGAAACCATTAACGGTAATGGTACCCGTAGCGCACGACACAAGCGTTTGTGCGCCGGGATGTCATATTCGTGAGGTCCTGACTTAAGCTTGAAAACGTGAGGCAGCAGTTGGTAGGAATGATGGTCACCGGTGGTTCTAGTTCCAATCTGTCATCTACTGCTTCTCTTCAAACGGAACATGTTTTAGATATCAGAAAAACTGGAACAGTAACAGAAGGTGTGCGTCAGAAATGGCTAGGTGAGGCTTCGTGCAGGAGTATTTCGCTGTAGCTGAATAGACGTAAACATGAATTGAGTTGCACTCGATGCTCGTGCTCGCTTCAGTTTTCGTAGTCAGGTCAAAATGCCAGATTAATGCCGGATCTAAATGGCAGATTTAATGCTAGAAACATGTACCTCGGGGTAGATTGGCCAGCTATACACGCATATTGCACACGTCCTCGCGAAAACCGCTTAATGTGTAATACGGCGCTGAGCACCCAAATCTACCTGTAGGTCACAAGGCGCCGAAGCGCACTATTAAGCGCAAGCAAACTCTTTCAGGCAAGCTTAGGTGAGCTCTGATGTAGTGGTGACGCTACAACCACTGTTTGCCGAGCTAATGATAGATACTAAGACGTTGAGAACAGTCAGTACTTGCTCATTCTCTGCCACATTCGGAAAATAATGGCTGTGATTGGGACTTTTCTGAGCAAGCGCTATAGAGAAGGCTTTACTATCTAATGTAAGTGTGTTTGCAGAGTCATATATTACACCAGCCGGCTTCGTCGGCTGACACCGGCGCGCCTCCTTCTGAGATACAGTCCGGCTTCGTCGAGCGGGCGCGGCTTCGCCGCGTTTACCTTCTTCCACACATTTTATTAGCCGCCTAGTATCAGGCTCTTCTTTTATCCGAACAAACATTATACCGGTGGTCAACATTCTTTGACCAATAGCATCATACCTGCTCCTTTCAACACTATTACGATGTATGGAGTGGTGGTAAGGAGCGTTGATCAATTGGACAGATGAGAGGAAATTCGGGTTTTAGTCGAGCATTTGATCGTATGAATGTAGGTAGGCGCGATGGAGCCACGCTCCGCAAAGTCGGGCCGTATCACATAGTGGTCCGAAGTGCCTGGAGTGCTCTGGAACCGCTTGAAGAATTTTTGAGGCTGGCCCCGCTCACCCTGACGCACGCTCCACACGCAATAGATATGCTTACACTTGTGAACCGGTGACCCCTCGCTGATCTCAAATTACTCCTTCCCGGTGTCTGGAGTGCTCTGGAACCGTTTTGCGAATTTTCTTAATTTGGCTCCATCCACCTCTGGGCACGCCCCGCCCACAACGTAAGTCCCGCGCTTCTCAACTATTAACCCTCGCTGATCTTAAACTACTTTTTCAATAAGGAAGGCATTGGAATTCGATGTAGAGGGCAAGCGACCACGAGGAGCCCCAAACAAAAGATGGAAGGGCGTCATCAAGAAGGACGTCACTGAAGTGAGTGAAAGCCGCGGCAGAAGATGTAGTGGATCCGAACAAATGGCGACATCTGACAAGAACAGCGGACCGTGCGGCGGCGCAGGACTAACGCTAGGGAGAAGAAGAATAGTTTATGAGGTGCTCGTTAATTAGGCTTCGAAAATAGCTTTGAATAAAGTCAAAATGTAAGTATCATGTAGTAACACACTTGGCCTGCACCGGTGCAATAGTGATGTTTTTGTCAGCGGTCCCCTCATGTTCACTGTTGGCGGATCGGATGACACAGCGGATAACTCGATGAATTCTGGATCGGACGACGATACGGGACTTCAAGGATCGGATCTTCTTTGTGGCAAACTTTTTGCATTTTTCAGCTTTCTATTCATTCGCGTTCCTGTGTGTCTAGCAGTGGAAATAAGCCGAGTATGTGCCATTTGAAGGCATATGCTTCATCTGATACCTTACAAACCAGCTCGGTTTTGTGGACACGCTTGTTTCC